AGATTTGTCTGATCGAACCTCCTAGGTCCTAGACTCATGTCTCCACTCAGCCATCACCGCTCCCTTGCCCAGCATTTGTCTCCTGCACCTATATGGGTATTTTCGCAAGACTATCAGCCTCATTATCCGCAAAAACCTTCAAAAACAATCCAAGAAAAACCCTAGCCATAAGGCTCAGACGAGTCCTTTTAAGGGCTTTTGGGCCCAAAGGCCTTATCTTATAAGGTTTCTGGGCTACGTTGAGCCTAAGGGTAATTTTGGGAAACCCTGCATTTAGTCTCGTCCAAGCCGCACTCGGTGCAGGCAGTAGGATCTGCGTCAGACCCGCGAGTGAGGAGCCTGGGTACTGGTCGTGAAGCACCGGTTTAGGTTCTGAGCTTAGGGTTCGGGTTTAGGGTTTAGGGCTAGGGTTTAGGGTTTAGGGTTAAGGGTTAAGGGTTTTGGGCTTAGGTTGCGTGGTGTCGTTAGTCCTGAACACACTGACCATCAACCAGGACGCAGAGTGGGCTCTTATTCCCTTTTTTTGGGAGGTTTTGGTTCGACCGATTAGCCCCTTTAAGCCGAAAAGGGCCCCTGAAAATATTCACTCATGTTCAGGGTTTAGGTTCCCTTACAAGCCCCTTGGAGCCAAAAAAATGTCCCTTTTGTGTTCCTAGGTGGCTCTTGAGGGCTTAGGTTCCCTTACACCCCTCTTCAAGCCAAAACGGGCCCCTTCTACCCTAAACCCTAAACCCTAAACCCTAAACCCTAAACCCTAAACCCTAAACCCTAAACCCTAAACCCTTGGGTCTACGCAAGAGTAATCCTGAGCACAGCTTCCCAACCCCAAGCTCCAAACCATGAGTCCAAAACCCCAAACTCCCTAAAACATGCTCGGCTTTAGGGTTTAGGGTTTAGGGTTTGGGTCCCAAACCCTAAACCCTAAACGGCAAACCCTGAACCCCTAAACCCCGAAACCCTAAACCCTGAACCCTGAACCCTAAACCCTAAACCCCAAACCCTAGACCCTAAACCCTAAACCCTGAACCCCAAAGCCCTAAACCCCAAACAGGACTCTTCTTCGACTCTGCGTAAAGGCCGCAGGATGCCCCGGCTTGGCCAAGAGAGAGAGAGAGAGAGAGCGGTTTAGGGTTTAGGGTTTAGGGTTTAGGGTTTAGGGTTTAGGGTTTAGGGTTTAGACAGCCTTGCGTAGGTTTAGGCTTTAGGGGTGCAGGGGTTTGGGGTTTAGGGTGTTTAGGTTTGGCGGCGTGTAGGCGTGTCGGGTTTGGGGTGGGGGTGTTTACGGTTTTGGGTTTTTGGGGACTCTGGCTTGAGGATTCGTGACAGGTTTAGGGATTAGAGTTCAGGGTGTAGGGTTTAGGGTTTAGGGTTTAGGGTTTAGGGTTTAGACAGCCTTGCGTAGGCCTAGAGTTCAGGGTTGAGGGCGTAGAAGGAACCCAAGCTGAGGATGTGCCCACTTTTATGGCCGTAGTTGCACTGTACTTTGACACCCCGGTTGTGGCTAGCCACGAACCTGCATGTACCCCCAAACCCTAAACCCTTAATCCCAAACCCCAAACCCTCTAATCCTCAACAATCCAAGCCCCAGGCCCAGGTCCAGAATCCCCCCAGGCCCAGGTCCAGAATCCGTAAAAGGCAAACCCTTGCTTGCCCCAAAGCCCAAAACTCTAAACCCTAAACCTTGGGATGTTCCCCTTAGACGAACAGTCCTTAGTAGGGATTATGGTACCCCCACCCGCCAAGGTTCCACGAGGCAGCGGATCAGGTGGTGATGGGATCAGGACGGACAGGGTTTGTGGCTCCATTTTGGGCTGCAGAGCCTAAACCCTAAACCCTAAACCCTAAACCCTAAACCCTAAACTCTGTTGGCCTTCGGGGTTCAGGGTTTAAGGTTGCGTGTCCGGGGTGGCTCCAGTGGAGATTGTTACACCGGCTCCAGGCTGGTAGGGTTTGGGGATTAGGGTTTGGGGTTTAGGGTTCAGGTTCAGGGTTCAGGGTTCAGGGTTCAGGGTTCAGGGTTCAGCGTTCAGGGTTCAGCAAGCAGTGCAACATCTGAAAGATAATAAGCCCCCGTGTGATTGCATGTAGGTGTTCCGCACAAAAGCGGACAAGGTTCACAAAACGACAAGCACATTGTGACAGGGTGTTGCACATTCTGGCACTTTCAGCAGCCTAAACCCTAAACCCTAAACGCTGAGCCCTACGCCATCTAGTCGGTCTCTGAGTCGGTTTGGTTCACACCACCACTTTAACCCTCAACCCCAAGTCCGAAACTTTGAACCCCCGTTTCAGTCGATGCCTTGCTGGTAGCTCAGCCTTTTGAGTCAAGATGAGTCGGCCCCAAACCCTTAACCCTAAACCCGAAACCCACACCCTAAGACCTTAAACTCTATAGACACCCTAAACCCTAAACCCTAAACCCTAAACCCTAAACCCTAAACCCTAAACCCTAAACCCTAAACCCTAAACCTAAACCCTAAACCCTAAACCCTAAACCCTAAACCCTAAACCCTAAACCCTAAACCCTAAACCCTAAACCCTAAACCCTAAACCCTAAACCCTAAACCCTAAACCCTAAACCCTAAACCCTAAACCCTAAACCCTAAACCCTAGCCCTAAACCCTAAACCAAAGAGGCACGGCATCCTCAACATCATGCGCACGCACGGCATCAAGGAAGGGCACCGGCCAGGCGGTCTCTGCTTTCGGGGCTTAAAGCTCTGTAGGGTTTAGGGTTGAGGGTTTCGGAGGAAAGGGTTTAGGGTTTAGGGTTTAGGGTTTAGGGTTTAGGGTTTAGGGTTTAGGGTTTAGGGTTTAGGGTTTAGGGTTTAGGGTTTAGGGTTTAGGGTTTAGGGTTTTGGAGGCAAGGGTTTAGGTTTTGGGGTGTTAGGGTGTTAGGGTTAAGGGTTTTGGAGGTAAGGGTCTAGGTTTTAGGGTGTTAGGGTGTTAGAGTTTAGGGTTTTGGAGCTAAGGGTTTAGGTTTTAGGGTGTTAGGGTGTTAGGGTTTAGGCTTTTGGAGGTAAGGGTTTAGGTTTTAGGGTTTAGGGTTTTGGAGGTAAGGGTTTAGGCTTTCGGGTGTTAGGGTTTATACCCTAAAGCCCAAACCCCTAGGGACCTCAAACCCGTCTGGGTCGCCCTCAAGCCCTTTTAGGTCTTGCGCTTCTGCGGGGTTTTTTCTCTTACCTTCGGGACGCTGGAGACCTTCCTCACCCAAGTTTCCCTTGAGGGCCTCAGTGGATTCAGCGTTTAGGGCTCAGGGTCTTGCGTTCAGGGTTCAGGGTTTAGGGTCTAGGGTTAGGGGTCTAGGGTTTCGGGTCTAGGGTCTAGGGTCTAGGGTTTAGGGTTTGGGGTTTGGGGTTTCGGGTTTCGGGTTTGGGGTTTAGGGTTTCGGGTGTCGGGTGTTGGCAGGCATCGAGTGCAAGTTCCTGGAGCAGTGGCATCAGAAGCTGCACCTTGGGCAGCAAGTTTGTTATTTCTTACTCGAAGACTCCTCTACATCCCCCCTTGGGAAGTTTTTTTTCTTTTAATATTTTGGTTTATACAAATCCCAGGAGGATGGCAAACATAGTTTTTTCATGAAGGTTCTAAGGGGAGGAAAGACCTAAACCCTAAACTCTCAAAAAACAAATTTCTTCCTCGGTAAAGTGCGCTTCCAAGCTTTCCCAACTTCCTCCAACCCAGGCACACGAATTCCGCCCCGGACGACATCGCCATTTGTGAAGGCCCATGACTCGACAAAACTTAAACCCCAACCCTGAACTAGGGTGGCCCCCTACACTACAACCTCTGAAACATCGTCCCAGATATCAGATATCATCCTCTTCAACCCAGTCAGGGAAATATGGGATATCCCACGCGCCCTAGTTTAAACGACCTAAACTTTCGTTGTAGGCTATGGGCTGCGGAAGCTGCAACAGATCTGAAGCCCTATAGAGCTGCACATTCTAGGACCGGGAGTAGGCCCTTTTTTTATTTGTTTGGGGTTGGGGTTCCCTTATCATCCCCTTAAAACTAAAAAGGGTGCCCGCTTTATTCCTAGGTTACTCCCGGGTCCAGAATTGGTATGTAACACAGGGGCATTGTGTGCATTGTTCAAGGGTTTCCCCACTACCCCCCCCCCCCCTCTATACTACCATCTTTTTCCCCCCCATAATTAAGGCTGCTTAGGGATAAGTAAGCCTAATTAAGGTTATTCAAAGGGGGAACGTAGGGGAGGGTAGTGTAGAGGGGGGTGGTAGGGAAACACGTTGAATTTGGGCTTGTTTGTAAATTTGTACATTCTGCGCACATAAAGGGGCGATGTAAGGGAGGCGACTGGTAACGCACGTGAAAGCCTTCAATCTTGACGCAAGCGCCCGCATCTTCCAAGGCCAGATGTCCCACAATCATTTGGGGTTTGCGATAATTACGAGGGGACCACAAATATATACCCCCCAAATAGTAGGATCCCCTTATAATAAGGACCCCAAGAAGGTAGCCCTAATATCGTGAGCCCCCATGTTTTGTCCACTCCAATTCTTTCCACTACTGTGTTGCAAGAGCTAAATATTTGTCCACACTGTTTAAGTCTCTCCACTGCTGTGTTGCAATCCTGGGGTTTAGGGTTTAGGGTTTAGGGTTTAGGGTATAGGGTTTAGGTTTAGGGTTTAGGGTTTAACCCTAATCGCCCTAAAGTCCTTTAACCAACAACCCGACCTTGGATATTTGTGCAGTTTAGAAATGCTGCGTCGGGTTCAGGGTTTAGGGTTTAAGGGTTGGGGGTTCAGAGGGCCTCAGGACGCTCCTTGATTCTTGAGCTCTTGCCGAAAGCATACCCCCATTCTCACAAAGATTGCTGAGGAAGAGGAGTGTTGGGGTGGGCTAGGGTTTAGGGTGTTGGGGTGGGCTAGGGTTACCCTAAACCCTAAACCCTAAACCCTAAACCCTAAACCCGAAGCCCTAAACCCTAAACCTAGGGCGCCAGGCTACTTGGCATTCCTCTCCTCGGGCAACCCGGACGAGATGTGGAGGGTGATGTGGGAAGTGGGCAAGTGCCCCAGCAGCAAAAAGGTTTGATGCTCTAGGAGGGCTAAAGAGTCAATACCGGGTGCTTAAGGCCTTGAGGGTTTTACTGTTCTTTTCGGCAGACCCTAAACACCTAAACCCCTAAACCCCTACACCCTAAACCCTAAACCCTAAACCCTAAACCCTGAATCCTAAACCCTAGACCCTACCAGAATGGGCTTGGGGCGGGCCTTCGGCTCGTATGGAAGCCCTGCGAACCAGGCTCAGCAGGGAAGACCTCGGGAAGATGTGCTGCACGGCTTGCAGAGTTAGGGTCTTGGGGTTTAGGGTTTAGGGTTTAGGGTTCAGGGTTTAGGGTTTAGGGTTTAGGGTTTAGCGCGTAGGGTTTTGGAGGGTTTTAAGGTTTAGGGGTTTTAGGGGGTTTGGAGTTTCGGTTTAGGGGGTTAGGGTTTTATTGGTTCAATGTAGGGTTTCAGTGGTTTAGGGTCTAGGGTTTAGGGGTTTAGGGTTTAGGGATTAGGGGTTTAGGGTTTAAGGTTTAGGATGCTTCAGGTTTAGTGGCTTAAGGTTTAGGGGTTTATGGTTTAGGGCCTCAGTGTTTAAGGTTCAGGGGGTTTAGGGGATTTGGGGTTTAGGGGTTGAGGGTAACTTAGGCGCTCAGGGTTTAGGCGTTTAGGGTCTAGGGATTTAGGGTTCAGAGGTTTAGGGCTTTGGGGGGACTAGGGGTTTAAGGTTTATGGGTGTAGGCTTTAGGGTTTAAGGGTTTGGGAGTTTAGGGTTTAGGGGTTTAGGCGGTTAGGGTTTAGGGGTTTAGCGGTTTGGGGGCTTAGGGGTTTAAGGTTTATGGGATGAGAGGGGGGTTTAGGGGTTTAGGGTTTAGGGTGCAAAGCAAGTGAATGACGATTCGGGAGAGTTTGCTTGGCTTGCATTGGGTGGTGAGTTTTGTCTCCTGCGCAGTTGTGAGCATGAAAATGGTATAGGGTTTAGGGTTTAGGGTTCAAGGTTTAGGGTTTAGGGTTTTGTGTTTAGGGATGGGAAGTGGTGCTTGGTCCTTTGTTGGGGTCCGCCTGTACCCTGAACGTTAGAGGCAACGCTAAACCCTGCGAGAAGCATACGCAAACTCAAGCTCCTGAAAGCCTAAATTCCGGAACCAGAAGCCCTAACCTCCGGTTCAAGGAGCGTATCACATGCTAACTGTACAACCCTGGAAGCCCTAAACCCTAAACCCTAAACCCTAAGAAAGTAAGGTCAGATGGGCTTCAAGGACCACACCAAGAGCGGCGGGCGCGGGCTGAACTTCACCCCTGCTCCTTGGACCTGGGTCCCTAAACCCCAAACTCCGAAACCTTTTTTTTTTGCAGGTGTAGGGTTTAGGGATTAGGGTTTAGGGTTTAGGGTTTAGGGTTCAGGGATCAGGGTTTAGGGTTTAGGGTTTAGGGTTCAGGGTTTACGTTTAGGGTTCATGGTTTGGGGGGGCTTCATGTTTTTTATTCTATGTTTGGCTTATGGCCTAACTTCGACATGTAATCAACCTAAACCCAAGCCCTAAACCCCTAAAGCCCTAAGCCCGGAAAACCCTCCCGAAACCCCCTTCAACCTGAAAGCCCTAAACCCTAAACCCTAAACCCTAAACCCTAAACCCTAAACAACCGAAACCCCCTTCAACCTGAAAGCCTTAAAGCCGAGGTGCACTTGCCCCACATGTACGACGACGTGAAGAACTTCCTCGGCCTCTTAAAGCTCCTCGGCCGCAGGTTTAGGGTTTAGGGTTTAGGGTTTAGGGTTTAGGGTTTAGGGTTTAGGGTTTAGGTTTGGGGTTTAGGGTTTAGGGATTCAGGGATTCAGGGGTTCAGGTTTCGATTTTGGGGTTTGGGATTTAGGGTTCAGGGTGCAGGGTTTAGGGTTTGGGGCCGGAGCCGAACCCCTTCGCACTACCAGGTTTGGGTGGGGGATGGAAGGGGCATTCCTTCTCTTTCTTGGTTTAGGTTTTAGGGTTTAGGGTTTAGGGTTTAGGGTTTAGGGTTTAGGGTTTAGGTGGATTTCCCGATACATTGCTTAGCTCCTTGAACACTGTTTTGCAGAAACGCTTGTAAACAAGCGCGCCGAGCTTTCAATTGAGCGATGCTAGTGTGTCCCTAAACCCTGAACCCTAAATCCCAAACCCTCAACCCTCAACCCTAAACCCCAAACCCTAAACCCTAAACCCTAAAAACCCTAACCTAAACCCCACACCCGAAAGCCACCAAGCGAGGCACATCCACGGTGGGACCGACCTGTTCTCCCTGTGCGAGGCCTGCAAAGGCCTGCGAACCTACGGAAAACGCCATCACTTCGCTGTGCGACAGCTGATATGGGCTTATGGGTTTAGGGTTTAGGGTTTAGGGTTTAGGGTTTAGGGTTTAGGGTTTAGGGTTTAGGGTTTAGGGTTTAGGGTTTAGGGTTTAGGGTTTAGGGAAGCAGTTGCTTGGGGGTTTATGGGCTTTAGGGTTTTCCGGGGTTTGGGGGCTTCAGGTGCTTGGGGTTTAGGGGTTCAGGGGTTTTTCAGGGGTTTAGGGTTTAGGGTTTAGGGTTTTGGGGTTTAGCTGCTTGGGGGTTTAGGGTGCTTTGGCAAGGAGGAGCCCTCTCAGGGTCGATTCACAAACGATTTCGTCCCAGGCACCTTCAGTCACTCCACTTTCGTCCGGTTGGAAGAAACCAGAGTCTGGAACATAAACCCAAGCAGGGTTTAGGGTTTAGGGTTTAGGATGTAGGTCCAGATGAGCAGCACGTGTAAAGACAGGTTGTCTTGCAGAGAGACAGAGACAAGTCTTTACCCCTCCCCCCTCCCCGCCCAAAAGCAAACATAAAGGTAAAATACAATAAACAGCAACACTAGGGCCGGGAGTAGGTCCTTTTTTCCTTTTTTCGGGTTGGGGTTCCCTTATACTCCCCTTAAGACCAAAAAGGGTACCCTTTTCATTCCTAGGCTACTCCCGGGTCTAGAACATAAACAGCCCTTCTCGCAGGCCAGTATCCGGATCACGATTCCGAATGTCCGGCGCTCGGGTGTAGGAGGCTTCGACCAGGATCAGGCACAGGGTAACCGGTTTAGGGTTTAGGGTTTAGGGTTTAGGGTTCAGGGTTGAACCCCAAACCTTCAGCAGGGTTTGGGGGATGTTTGAGGTTTGGAGTTTAGGGTGTGGGATGGCGGGAGAGGACGTGAGGTCCTAAAGCTGCAAGGGGCCTATGAAAGCTTGGGGACTCATGGAGCACTAGCTCTTAGTCAGCCATTCGGAAGGGAGGTGGGTTTAGGGTTTAGGGTTTAGGGTTTAGGGTTTAGGGTTTAGGGTTTAGGGTTTATAGGGTATAAGGTATAGGGTTTAGGGTTTAGGGTTTAGGGTTTAGGGTTTAGGGTTTAGGGTTTAGGGTTTAGGGTTTAGGGTTTAGGGTTACCTTATATGCCCCTATAAGCCCTATATTAATTCTACACCCTAAGTCCGAACCCCAAGAAGAAGTGCAAGGGAGCCCTACTCACAGGAACCCACAACTTGCAGGCTCACATGAACCTCCCGAGCAGAACCCCCACAACCCGAAACCCCAAACCCCAAACCCCAACCCCCAGACCCTAAACCCCACACCCTCAACCCCAGACCCTAAACCCTAAACCCGAAACCCTAAACCCTAAACCCTAAACCCTAAACCCTAAACCCTAAACCCTAAACCCTAAACCCTAAACCCTAAACCTCAAGCTTTTCCCTAGGTTTTTCCTAAGCACTTGCGAGGCCTTGCCTTTGACATCTTCCACAGCCGCGACGACCCCTACTCCCTGGGCAAGATCCTGGACCTCCGCAGGCCTTTTGGGGGTGTTAGGGTCTAGGGTTTAGGGTTTAGGGTTTAGGGTTTAGGGTTTAGGGTTTAGGGTTTAGGGTTTAGGGTTTAGGGCTTCGCGGGAATTAGGTGTTTTTTTCGGGTTCCCTAGGATCCTTGACCTCCACCTCCGCATGCCTTTCAGGGGGGGGTTGCTTCAAGGGGGGCTTAGGGGGTCTAAGGCTTGTTGCGGGTTTAGGGTTTGGGGTTTCAGGGTTTTAGGGGGGTAAGATCCTGGAAGGCTCCCGCGCTGATAGAGCTGTTCGGAAAGGCCCCCCAGGCACCACGGTTGTGAGACGTAATCTAGGGGTCGGGGAAACTACGAATAGTATTCCCTTATGGTGCCTTTAACAATATACTACAATAACCCCCCCCCCCCAAACCCTATTCTAAAACAGAAAAAGCAGACATAGGATTTCAGGGAGTGCTTGTCTGTAATTATGTCTGGGATGTCGAATGTACGTGTACTGACTCGACATATTTTAGAACCAACGTGGCAATAGGAGGACCGGTTTAGGGGGGCAAAAAGAAAAAAGAAAAGATTTTTGCCCCCCCCCCCCCCCCCCCCCCAAAAAAAAAAAAAAAAAAAACTGAACTTGAGAGCATCTTGAGAAGCTGAACTTGAGAGCCTCAAGCCCCCATTTCTCTCTATTACCCTCATCCTCTATCTATTTCCTGTTGATTTCGCATGCGCAGATCATGGGGAGGGCCCCTGCCCCCCGGGACCCACTTAAGTTTAACAATGAAAGTTTAAAGTCCTCAAAACCCTTGAAAAAATTGATTGGGGGGGGGGGGGGGGTCTGGGGGTTCAAGGTGTTTTGTTGGGGTCTTTAGAATTTCGGGGGTTTAGGGTTCAGGGGTGTTTAGGGTTTCAGCAAGTTTCGGGGCTTTAAGGTTTGTTTTGTTTGTGTTTTTCCTCCGGGCTTTTAGGGTTTAGGGGGGGTTTGGTTTCTTCAGGGTTTTAGGGTTTAGGGCCTAAGAGTTTGCATTCGAGTGCCTCGCGAGCCGCCCCATACTTACTCAAGAATCTTCAACATTCTCAACATTCTCTTGGGCGCGAACCTAAAACCCTAAGCCCTAAGACCCGACCACCAGGCTTGTGATGGTTTAGAGTTGGGATGTTACCCCCTATACTAAGGGTCCTCAACTTAGTAGCTGAGTGAGCACACTTTACACGTTTTGGGATACTGTAATCCGATAATCCCCGATAGATATGAAAGTGTACACTTTCTTGGGGCTTATGAACTAACTAAGTCAATAGGGGGACTATAACTTACTTCTCCAACAGCTGAACTTTAAACTGTCTGGGTTTGCTTTTTTAGTGGGAAGAATAAAGCGTAAACGGTTTTTCCCTTGGTTATTGGAGAAGTAAGATAAGAAGGGGTACTTTTCTTTGTGGTACTTTACTGTAACTTTAGATGCTTACCTTTTTTGGGTTTATTGGGTTTCTTATTAAGGCAGCTAAAAGTTTAATTTATAGCTACCCTCCTGAGTGAAGCCAAGTATAGCCCCCATTAAGTCCGGGTCCGTGGATCGGCTGCTTGCAGGGATGCCTTTGCAAGTGTCCCTTCTGCTGGCGTTCACATGTCTGGGCAGCCCCAAACCCTGAACCCTAAACCCTGAACCCTAAACCCTAAACCCTAAACCCTAAACCCGCGATGCCGAAACTGCACACTTGCGCCACGCCACTGTTGCAACATCTCATACTCTCTCCGGGGCACTTGCCCGACTTATAAGTACCCGCCTTGAAGAAGTTTAGGGTTTAGGTTTAGGGTTTAGGGTTTAGGGTTTAGGGTTTAGGGGTTTAGGGACCTTAATCCCGAAACCCTCAACCAAGCTTGTTCCCCAAAAGTCTAAACCCTATAAACCCTACAAACCCTGTAAACCCTAAACCCTACAATCCGAAACTGCCTAGACCTTATAAACCCTAAACCCTACAATTCCGAAACTTTAACCCTATGAACCCCAAACCCTCAATCCTGCAAACCCTAAGCCCGAAACCCTAAATCTTACAAACCGTAAACCCTGAACCCCCCCCCAAAAAAAAAAAAAAACATTAAACGCAATGAGCCCGAAGCCCAAAAACCTAACCCCTGAACCCTATAAACCCAAACCACATGAAATCCAATAAGCCCTGTAAGCCCTATAAACCCTTTAAGCCCTTTAAGCCATTTGAACCCTTTGAACCCCTATAAATCCTATACGCCCTCGAACTCCCCTGCAGCGAGGCGTTTGGAGTCTGTCCGCTGGAAGCGAGACATTCTGTTTCTTGGCCTCCGTTTGCCTAAGGGGTTTAGAAGTTAGGGGTTTAGGAGTGCGGGCATGTAGGGGTGTAGTGCTTCGGGTTTAAGGTTTAGGGTTTGGGGCGGGGCGCGAGCACAGGGGGGGGGGGGGGGGGGGGGGGCTGGGGGGGGGGGGGGGAGGGTGCGGTCAACGGCCTTTAGGGTTGCGAGGGGTTTACATCCTCATCCGCCTGCAACTTGCCGTGGCTTCGTCGGGAATGAAGGAATGGGTTCCGTATACTTACCAGAAAACCGATAGATCTACGCATGCTAGACATATGAATATTACGATGAATACTAAACCCTAAACCCTAAACCCTAGACCGGAAGAGCTGGAGCACTTTCGGGCGTGGGGCACTGCCCAGGATGCTCGACGTGGCCATGGAAGACCAGCTCAGGACCCAAACCCTAAACCTTAAACCTTAAAGCCCTGAACCCCCAAACCCAAGACGGTTTAGGGTTTAGGGTTTAGGGTGTAGGGTTCAGGGTTCAGGGTTCAGGGTTTAGGGTTTAGGGTTTGGACCCGAAACAGCCCTAGACCGTAAACCCTACACCTCAAACCCTAGACCTTAACCCTAACCCCAAGCCCGCAAAGCCTGCTACAGGCTACTGGTCGGAAGCATTAATTACTTCTGGTCTTCCCTTATTTTCCTATATACCTTATTCTAATTATTAAGGCCCTAAACCCTAAACCTACCTAGACCCTAAACCCTATTCAGTGTGTAGGGGCAGAGGTACCTCAAGGAGCCCGTGAAAAGCGAGTTAATGTGCGAAAACCAGCCCGAAATCATGGTCACGTCTTCTGAACCCAGGGTTGAGGGTTTAGGGTTTAGGGCCTTGGGTTTAGGGTTGGGCATATCTGCGTATATTCCTTCCAGCATTAAAATGGTCAACCTCTTTGGGGTCAAGGAACTCAGCAACTAGGAGTGCCCCAGGGGTTCCCTTATCACGTAACCAACCCCAGGAAAGGGTTTAGGGTTTAGGGTTTAGGCTTTAGGGTTTAGGGTTTAGGGTTTAGGGTTTAGGGTTTAGGGTTTAGGGTTTAGGGTTTAGGGTTTAGGGTTTAGGGTTTAGGGTTTAGGGTTTAGGGTTTTAACCCATATTTTGATATGGTTACTGGGCTAGCAAGAAGAATCCTCTGCAGTGGAAGCCCAAACGGCCACACGATGAAGCTCAGAAGGCCACGATGCAAGTCAATCTGCACCCTGCACCGCAAGAAGACCACGCAACTCTGCACGTGCCCCGGCGCCGGTCAGCAGCAAGAACGTTCCAGAAGACAGTACCAGCTTTGCAACCGGCCCCGATATGGAGCTCTCAATCTTCGTCCTGGACGCGCCCCTGGCAGCTGCCGAAGGGCCCACATGCTCTACCTACCAATCCGGACGGAGCTCAAGCAGTATCGCATCAAGCGCCCGTACTTACACGGCCCTAAACCCGAATACGACCCCCTCGTATTTAGCACGCAGCCACCTAAACCCATCTACCCTAAGCCCTAGACCCCTCGACCCTAAACCCCTAAAGCCCTCAACCCTCAGCCCTAGGCCCAAAACCCTCAACCGCAAACCCTAATCCCCTCAACCCTAAGCCCCAAACCCCTCAACCCTTAACCCTGAACTTCTCAACCCGAAACCTCAAACCCCTCAACCCTAAACCCCAACCACCCCCACCCTAAGCCCTAACCCCCTCAAACCCCTCAACCCCCTCAAACCCCCTAAACCCTAAACCCTAAACCCTAAACCCCAAACCCCAAACCCCAAACCCCAAACCCCAAACCCCAAACCCCAAACCCTAAACCCTAAACCCTAAACCCTAAACCCTAAACCCTAAACCCTAAACCCTAAACCCTACAGGAGCTTGGCCGAACGGGCCGATCCATCGACTATGGGACGCCTTGTGCTCGGCTTTAGCTTTGAGGAGGCTTCGTTCCCAAACTGCGATGAGGTTGCCGTTGAGTATTTAGGGTTTAGGGTTTTGGGTTTAGGGTTTAGGGTTTGAGGTTGAGGGCACTCTTGTTATGTCCCCTCTGAGGTGGTGAACTTGCAGGGCTATTGTAAAGACTGCATGACTCTTGCCGTGGTGACCCGAAAAGCCCCACGATTGGAGTCTTGTCTCCGAACTTAAAACCGTAAACCCTAAACCCTAAACCCTACACCCTAAACCCGAAACCCTAAACCCTAAACCCGAAACCCAAAACCCTAAACCAGAAGCCCAAGGTGATGAGATCCTGAACCTCATCTGCATGATCTTAGAAGATCTCATGGTTTCGCGGCACGATCCGTCCCTCCAGCAGGCCCCACCTGTCGCGAGTCCGTAGGGTTTAGGGTTTAGGGTTTGGGGTTTGGTGTTTAGGGTTTAGGGTTTAGGGTCTAGGGTTTAGGGTCTAGGGTTTAGGGTCGGGATTCTGCTCAAGGATCACTATAACCACTATGCCCTTTAAACAAGCAAGGTGCCAAACCTCTAACTAACCTTACACAAGGCCATGCCCAACATGAAAGACCCTATGTCGATGACTAGGCTCTATCCTGAAAACATACGCTTATGCCAATCCGCAAGGTACACCTTACACCCTGGAGCGTAAACTTGAAACACCCTGCATAGACCCCAAATCCTAATCCCCAATCCCTGATCCCTACAACCTAAACCCTAAACCCCCCCAAACCCCAAACCCCCACGGGAACTGCAGGTCTAGGGCGTATGCGCCCGGCACCCCAACACAACTGCTGGAATGTCCAAAACCGAAACCGAAGTGTTTATGGTTTAGGGTGTAGGGTTTAGGGTTTAGGGTTTAGCGTTTAGGGTTTAGGGTTTGGGGTTTAGGGTTCAGGGTTTCCATTTCAGAGCTTTCTGCGCCCAAGCACGTTGGGGCTGTGCGCGCCTCAATGAGCTCTTGGAAGGCTTGGCGTTGGGTCCGCGTGTGCCACAGCCCTAAGCCCTAAACCCTAAACCCTAAACCCTGAAACCCGGTAAGGGGCCATGTAATTTGCCCTGGCCCTAAACCCTAAAACCTACAGCCCCAAACTCCTGAACCCCTTACACCCAGGGTGACCCAAAACCCTAAACCCTAAACCCTATACCCTAAACCCCAAACCCTAAACCCTAAACCCTAAACCGACTTCGAAGTAAAGCAGGGCTTCGAGCTCCTCGATCGCCTCAGCCGCGGTGATGCCGGAGGCGTGGCGTCCTTTACCACTTCCGACTTGAAGGGCTGCCGACTGGAGGGTTCGGGGGTTTGGGGTTTGGGGTTTGGGGTTTGGGGTTTAGGGTTTAGGGTTTAGGGTTTAGGGCCATACGGGTACTGATAGTTACCGTGCAGGCTTCGAACAAACAGGTAGCCCCTTATGATCGTGTAAACGAACTTTGAAGTACCCAGGAACCTCCACATACCGTATCTGCACAGTGAGGTCTAGCACTGTAGCCATCAAATTGCCCGAATTGAGACCCCAAACCTACACCTGAAACCCTGAAACTCTGGATCTGAATGAGACCTCTTGCAAAGACGGGGATGGTGTGGGCGTCCTCTGTTCGGTCTCCTAATCCATCTGCATTCTCAGAGCCCATATCCTCTGTTTGAAGCCCTAAGCCCCGAAACCCTGCAACCCTTGATCCTAAAGCCCCTAAACCCTACGTAAGCTCCTAGGCCCTGAAACCCTTACACACTTAAACCCTTACACCCTTACACCCTTAAACTCTTAAACCCTCAAGCCCTAAAGCCGAAACCCTAAATGCCCTAAACCCCGACCCCCCCCCCCCCAAACTGGATCCCACAGCCTTGACCCTCAGCCCCCGAAGCCCCTAAACCCTCACACCTTTAAGCCCTTCTACCCTCAGACCCTAAACTCTAAACCCTAAACCCTAAACCCTAAACCCTAAACCCTAAACCCTAAACCCTAAACGCCTCAGGCCTCCAGAAATGGAGCCCGGAGTGGTGCAAGATGTTGCACGCTTCGTGCGACCGCCTGGCTCTGGCCTGCACGGACACGGCACTGCGGCAGCAAGGGTTTAGGGTTTAGGGTTTAGGGTTTAGGGTTTAGGGTTCAGGGTTCAGGGTTTAGGGTTTAGGGCTTACGGGCTTTAACGGGCTTTGAAGGCCTTTTAAGGGCTGTTGAGGGCTTTAAAGGGCTTTTAGGGTGTTCTGGGTTTTTGGGACGGGCTGTCGGGTTTTTTCGGGGATCTAGGGTGATTTCTGGCGTTTTAGGGTCTTAGGGTTGGGGGTTAAGGCGGTTCGTGGTGCGAAGGAGAAGGTGCTTGAAGGTAAACTCGCAGGGGGTGGCAGGAGGCTTGAGTAGCTGATGTTCTTCCCGGACACTGGGCCGCCTCTGCAAGCCCAAGTTTAGGGTTTCGGTTTTAGGTTTGGGGTTTGGGGTTTAGGGTTTAGGGTTTAGGGTTTAGGGCGATCCGGTCAAGATCTTCCATGGCCAAGGAAACCTCCCACCACAACCATCCTACTTAGGGTTGAGGGTTTAAGGTTTGATATCCGACGCCCTAAACCCGAAGAAGTTCGCCTCAAACCCTCGGCCTTCGACCCTCCAAGACCGCCCTAGCCCTAAACCCGAAAACCCTAAAACTCTAAGCCTTAAACCCGAATCCTGAAACCCTAAACCCAAAACCCAAAACCCAAAACCCCAAACCCTAAACCCTAAACCCTAAACCCAAAACCCAAAACCCAAAGCCCTAGCCAGTTCAGCCTATAGTTCACCCTCTCAGGCCGACACCGTGATGCGCGTGCTCCAAGAGTGTGCCGACCGCCTCTTGGAGGTGCGCGGCCGCCTAGGGGAGTTTAGGGTTTGGGGTTTAGGGTTTGGGGTTTGGGGTTTAGGGTGTGGGGCTTAGGGCTTAGGGTTTGAGGGTTTAGGGTTCAGGGTTTAGGGTTTAGTGTTTAGGGCTTAGGGTTTAGGGTTTGAGGGTTTAGGATTCAGGGTTCAAGGTTTAGGGTTTAGGGTTTGGGGCTTAGGGCTTCGGGTTTGAGGGTTTAGGGCTCAGGGTTCAGGGTTTAGGGTTTAGGGTTTAATTAGGGTTCAGGGCAATTGAGATCAGAAACCGGAGGTTCGTGGTTACTTATAGGTAGGGTTGCAAGCACCAAGAAAAAGATTATGTAGCTGTAGTTCCGCGCGGTTTTGGGATCTGGGTTTTGGGATCAGGGTTTCCGGAAACGTTGGCACCTAGAAGCCATACTACAGCACGCTAAATATCGGGCTATGCCCTAAGCCCTACAATTTCTCTCCACCCCTCTCGACCCTGAAGCCCCAATCCCTAGGCGTTGAGCCTTGAAGAGCCCAAACCCTAAAACCCTAAACCCCAAAGCCCCTGTGACCAAAACCCTAGACCAACAAAACCCTGAAACCCCAAAGCCCCGAAATCCCGAAAACCCTAAATCCCCAAATCCCTAAAATCCTAAGCGCTAAATCCCCAAACCCGAAAACCCTAAACCCCCAAACCCTGACCCCCAAAACCCTAAGCCCCAAAATCCTAAAACTCTCAAACTCTACACCCGAAAACCCTAACCCCCAAACCCTAATACCCGAACCCTGAAGCCCTAAAACCCTCAAACCCTAAACTCTATAAACCCTACAACCCCTCAAGCCCTAAAACCCCAAACCCGTCCATGTGCCGAAGGAGGGCGCCAAACCCGGAACTCTAACCCCTAACCCCTAAACCCTAAACCCTAAACCCTAAACCCTATTTTCGGAACCCATCCATGTGCCGGAGGAGGGCGCCAAGCCCGGGGCCGCGTTCAGTCCCGATCCCAAGCACCTGGAGACCTTCGGAGAGGCCAGTTTAGGGTTTAGGGTTTAGGGTTTAGGGTTTAGGGTTTAGGGTTTAAGGTTTAAGGGATTTGGTGGTTTAGGGGGTTTGGGGGTTTTGGGGGGGTTCAGGAGTTTAGGGTTTAGGGATGTATGGGTTTTAAGGTTTTGGGGTTTTCGGGTTTTGGGGTTAGTGTTTTTGTTGGGGCTTTAGGGCTTTTGGGTGCAGGGGTCCCGACCCTTGTTGCAGCGAGCGGATTGTAGGGCTGTCCGGCTTCTCTTTTGGGACTTCGGCGGCTATTGAGGGTTTAGGGTTTAGGGTTTAGGGGTCCGGGTTCAGTGTTTAGGGTGCAGGATTTAGGGATGGGTTCTCGGGTTTGGACTCAGGGCTTCAGTTTTGTTTTATTTGGGGCTTGTAGGGTTTCGGCATGACATCGTCTCAAATTTCGGCGGGGCAAACTCCTGCCGTTTCAAGAGGCCCCGTTAGAGTTGCTTTTCTAGCACGGTGGGAAGATTTCATAGTCAAAATTTCAAGGGCTTAGGGTTTAGGGTTTAGGGTTTAGAGTTTAGCGTTTAGGGTTTAGGGTTTAGGGTTTAGGGTTTAGGACGAAACCCCAAAACCCCAAAACCCCAAAACCCCAAAACCCCAAAACCCCAAAACCCCACGCAGGAGAAGGCCCGCTGCCTCACTGAGCGGGTCCTTGCACAGATCTTGAAGGCGCTTCTTACCCTAAACCCTAAACCCTAAACCCGTGCCCCTAAGGTTGTACCCCTAAAGCTTCCTGAATAGACTCCTAATATGGCCCTTTTCTACCCTTAGGGGTCCTTAAAAAAAGGGACCCTGAGGGGTCCTTAAAAAGGGGACCCCAAAAGCCGAGGGTACAACCTTAAGGGTCCACGGTAGAACCCCCTACTTTAGAGGGTTCTTAAGGGAGCTCCCTAAGCTTCCCGAAGGTTGCTTCGGCCCAGTCGAAAGTCGGATACACCATTCATTGCCGGACGAATAGTAGGGCATAGTCATGGGTTTAGGGTTTAGGGTTTAAGGGTTTAGGGTTTAGGGTTTACTAAACCCTAAATTAGGGTTTAGGGTTTAGGGCTTTTCCAAAAACCCCTTAAACCCTAAACCTTAAACCCACGCCCTAAACTCTACATCTTGTGTCGCCAGCGAAGCCCTCTAGGAGTGGGATGAGACGGGAGTTGAGAACCTCAGCCCTCGGCATTTGGAGTTTTTCTGGATTTCCCAACCCCTCTAGCCTCCAAGCCCTAAACCCTAACCCCACAAACCCAGAAACCTAAAGCCACAAAACGAAATAATTAGAAGTTGTAGGTGGTCTCACTCCAAATTGTCAAAGCTGTTTAAACCCAGAGCTGTTTAATCCCTAAACCCTAAACCTTAAAGCCAAAACCCTAATGACCCCGAAACCCCAAACTAACAAAAACACGAAAAATCGACTCAAGCGTCTCCCCGGCCCTGAGCCTAATAGCCCTAAACCCTAAACCCTAAACCCTAAATCCTAAACCCTAAACCCTAAACCCTAAACCCTACTTATAATTGGTTACTCATGAACCTAAGTGGTCGCGGAGGTGCTGATGCCACAGCTCAGGAGGCGCGCCGTTTTGTCTTTGGCGGCTCTGAATTGTATTGGGTTTAGGGTTTAGGGTTTAGGGTTTAGGGTTTAGGGTTTAGGGTTTAGGGTTTAGGGTTTAGGGTTTAGGGCTTAGGGCTCAGGGCTCAGGGCTTAGGGCTTAGGGTTCAGAGTTTATGGGTCTCCAGCGAGTTTTTCATCGCAGGGTGGCTTCCATGTCTATCTTCTGTTGATATGGGGGGTTTCCGAGAATAGACCCAGGGGTATTGGAGTCCTTTTTATCATTATGGAATCCTAGTTAGAGGTCGCTTCTTTTTGTAAGCTCCCATATCAGGGAGGTCCGGTGGGCTTCATATTGCTGTTCTTGGTGAGTGTGTTTCTTTGTAGAGTTCCTGTTCTTGGTGAGTCTTAAATCTGAACTAAACCCTAACCCTAAACCCTATGAACCTGAAATTAGAACCCCAATCTCTTAAACCCCAACTCTGAACCACCCCCCTTCACATACTGGGTTGTAGTAGGGAAGCAGGGAATTGCAGTAGGTACATGACATCCCCACTTCATACGCTTGAAGGGATGTTTTCGTACCCTAAACCCTAAACCCTAAACCCTAAACCCTAAACCCTAAACCCTAAACCCTAAACCCTAAACCCTAAACCCTTCTCTGCTTTTTACAACCACAGGCAGATTGTTGCAGAGGCTCCTTCCCTGATAGCCTTCTACACATGGCAACCTCCCCCCCTAAACCCTAAACCCTAAACCCCAAACCCTAAACCCTAAACCCTAAACTCAATGCCCTGAACCCCAAAAGCCGTAGACGCCTTTGAGAAAAGTTCCGCAGCACGCCCCACGACCTGAAATGTCCTAAACACAACTTCTAAAAGTCCTGAACAAAGATCCTCGGGTTCCCTCAGAGATTTTACGGCCCGGTTTAGGGTTCAGGGTTTAGGGTTTAGGGTTTTGGGTTTTGGGTTTAGGGTTTTGGTGTTTGGGTAGCATCGGCAAAACCCTCAACGCCTTCGCTTGTGCAGTCGGTGCTCCCAAACCCGTTCGCCCTCAGAGGGTCCCTCAAAACCGTCCTCCCCAACAAACAGGTTGTGGGATTTAGGGTTTAGGATGGGTTTGGAATTTAGGGTTTAGGGGTTTAGGGGTTCAGGGTTAGGGTTTAGGGTTTAGGGTTTAGGGCTAGGGTTTAGGGGTTTAGGGTCTAGGGTTCCCGGGGTGCTATTAGGTGGGCCGGCCTTGGGCCCTGGCAGCTGGTGGCCTCCTTCCCAGCGCTCGGAACGCCGCCCGTCGCGCCACAAGAAAAGCCCTGAGGGCTCTTAGATTGTCTGAGATAGAGGTGGGTTTCCTTATTTAGTAGGAAGAATAAAGCGTAAACTGTTTTTCCCTTGGTTATTGGAGAAGTAAGAGAAGAAGGGGTACTATACTTTGTGGTACTTTACTGTAACTTTAGATCCTTACCTTTTTTTGGTTATTGGGTTTCTTTTTAAGGCAGCTAAAAGTTTAATTATAGCTACCCAGCCAAGTTAGATTGTTTGAGATAGAGGTGCTTGTTTGTGGAGACGGCGCCTCTAAGAGGCCGTGCGAGTAACCACAATTTCTGGGGCTCTGGGGCTCTGGGGTGGGGGGGGGGGGGGGGGGGGGGGGTGGGGGGGGGGGGGTGGGGTGGGGGGGGGGGGGGGGGGGGGGGGGGGGGGGGGGGGGGGGGGGGGGGGGGGGGGGGGGGGGGGGGGGGGGGGGGGGGGGTGTGGGGGGGGGGGGTGGGGGGGGGGGGGGGGGGGGGGGGGGGGGGGGGGGGGGGGGGGGGGGGGGGGGGGGGGGGGGGGGGGGGGGGGGGGGGGGGGTGAACACGTGACTTGGGACTTCACACCGGCAACTCCAAAGCCTGAACCCCTAATCCCCAAAGGCCTAAACCCTTGCTGTTTAATTCGGGGTTTATAAGCAAAACGCGCCCGCGCCTAGGCGAGAGCGCAATTTCAAGCAGAAAACGTGTCCGAAACTTCAAAACGACACCCCCTAGAAGAAAACACAACAAACAAACGATCCTTAAACCCAAAAGAATAGTCCAAGCAGTGCAAACCCAAATCCTGAAACCTGAACCCTAAACTTTGAACCTTGAACCCTGAAGAAGAATCAACTTGAGGCCACTTTCAGGATCCAGTGCACAAGTCTGTTGGGTTACAACCAAAGCACAATTCCAGAAAATCATGCCTGCGCTGTGGCGAGAGCACTATTTCGAACCTGAACTGCCGGAGCCATAACGCAGAAAAACTTCCCGAACCGAAAATCGCCATTTGAAAGTTCAACATGGGGAATGAGCAAAACGTGCCCGCGCCTAGGCGAGAGCGCAAATTCGAGCAAAAAACGCGTCCAAAACTTCAAAAAAAAGGACCCCCTGGAAAAAAAAACAACAACAAAAAACGATCAGGCTTCGAGCGAAAATGCATTTTTCCGAAAAAATGACCTAACCCTTCAGTGTTTTCGAGCCCTGCAAATGCTGCGGTGATCACGAAAATGTGTGTTTTACTTGGGTTTTCAGCCCTCGACGCGAAAAATGTAAACACAGAATGTGTTCAGTCACACGGCCTCTTACAGGCGCCGTCACCTTGTTTGTATGTGGGTGTGTTTTTTCGTGTAGATTTCTTTTGAAATGGGGTTTTGGGGGTTCTTAGCATTTGTTGCAAGTCGGGTTTTTCGAGGTTTTTGTTTCTTTTTCAGGGTTTTCAGGGTTTTTCAGGGTTTTTCAGGCTGTTACAACTCTAAAAGCACTAAAGCCCGAAGCGCCCCAAAAACCCTCTAAACCCTAAAGCCTTTAAAGACCCGAAGCCACCCGAAGGCCTTGAAGAGCCGAAGCTCTAAAGGCCTAAAGAGCCTAAAAGCCCTACAAGCCCCTAGAGACCCCAAGACCCGAAGCCCTAAACAACCCTAAGCCCGCTCCAAAACCGAAAAAACAGAACCTAAAACCCTAAACCCCCTAAACCCTATAAACTCTAAACCCCCGAAACAACCTCTAAAAGATCAAAAACCCTAAGCCCCCTAAGCCCCCTAACCCCCCAAACATCTAAGGCTGCGCCCCATCGCGTCGCTGCCCGCGGAGCTGGCGCCTGGGCAGGCCGGCGCCGTGAGGATGATGGTTTGGGTTTTAGGGTCTTGGTTTTAGGATTTAGGGTTTAGGGTTTAAGGGTGTATTTTCGGTTATGTATGCATGTATGTCTATATAAACCTCGAAACTATGCACTGTCAGTATGGACGCGCTGTGAGTCAGAGAAGTTCATGACGAACCCGACGCAGCAGAACCTAGTGGGCACCAGTTAGAATCTGGCCCCTGAAATGTAGGGATTTTAGAGCTTAGGGTTTTCTGAAGGAAATATACGCCATGAAAGTCGACATATTTTCCAGAAAACCCTAAACTCTAGGGTTTTCTGCTACGGTCAGTGTAAAAAGAGCCTGCGGAAGAATAGGTACCCTGCAACAAGGAGCTATACTCCAGCATCGAAGTAGCGCAGGAAGGACCCAGCCAGCGACAGCCCACATAAAGCGCTGTCTTGATCGCCTTGACGTGCTTTTCGGAACGATGGCCCGAGCAAGTACGATGAGCAGCCAAGCCGATTGAGCCAGTGCAGGCATCGAAACAACTAACAGCATTGCCCCCTTATAGGCGATGTTCTTTGCGCATTTTAAATTGGCATCCACATAACATGCGAGGACCCGCACATAAACCCGAAACAAACGCCTCGAGGCCCCCATGATCGCGCTCGTCGAGACCATGACCGGCTGGGAGGTGCCCAATTCTCATCAAGAGTCCGTTCATAGGGGCTTGACCCTAAACCCTAAACACCAAGCCCTTAGAATCCTGAGCCGGATCTCATTTTACAGCATTTCTGGGATCTTGTGTTGGCTGACCGCGCAGCGTCCCCGAACTTTGCAGAATTAGATCCTAAACCCTAAACCCTAAACCCTAAACCCTAAACCCTGATGAGTTTCATCGACCTTGTCCATCAGCCCCCCTCTTCTTTCGCCCAGCCTATACCCTAAGCCCTCATCCCAAAACCCTAAACCCTAATTAAACCCCAAACCCCAAACCCCAAACCCCAAGCCCCAAACCCCAAGCCCCAAACCCCAAACCCCAAACCCCAAGCCCCAAACCCCCCAAACCCCAAACCCTAAACCCTAAACCCTCAGGCGTTTAGAGGTAATTTGGACCTAAACCCTCGATATCAACCCCCCTCACCCCAAACCCTAAAACGACCCTGAACCCCAAGCTCCTAACCCTAAGCCGTAAACCCCAAACCCTAAACCCCAAACCCCAAACCCCAAACCCCAAACCCCAAACCCCAAACCCCAAACCCCAAACCCCAAACCCCAACCCCCCAACCCCAAACCCCAAACCCCAAACCCCCCCCAAACCCCAAACCCTAAACCCCAAACCCCAACCCCAAACCCAAACCCCAAACCCCAAACCCCAAACCCCAAACCCCAAACCCCAAACCCCAAACCCCAAACCCCAAACCCCAAACCCCAAACCCCAAACCCCAAACCCCAAAACCCAAACCCCAAACCCCAAACACCAAACCCCAAACCCCAAACCCCAAACCCCAAACCCCAAACCCCAAACCCCAAACCCCAAACCCTAAACCCTAAACCCTAAACCCTAAACCCCAAACCCTTCCTGGGGAGGACATCCCGGCCGGAATCACGGCCATTCTCCTGCCGGCCGGCCAGGCTGTCCATGGGGGCCATGGGAGCAGATATGCAAGGACAACAGGTTTAGGGTTTAGGGTTTAGGGTGCAGGGTGTAGGGTGCAGGGTGTAGGGGTCCATTATGTGACATTCAGAGGCTGATTACACGGCCGAATTGACCCCCCCCCCTTCCGTGAACCCGAATGCCCCTCATGGGTCCCTCAAGCCTAACCCGACCCCCGGCAGGCTGTGGACACGCTCTCGCACGTTGCCATCCGCGCACGGAACCAGCAGGCGAGTGTGCGAATGCCAGGTCTTCGGAATTGCCGAACTTCGATCCCCTTGCTTGCCCGGTGGTAACCTTTTGCACCTTATTGCTTGTTCTAAGGTTTAGGGTCTGGGGAATCGGGTTTAGGGTTCGCTTATAAGTCTGTCACCAACCCCCAATGAAGGGTACCCTCATTGCAAGATGGCTGTTCAAAAGAAGATATCTCTAGGCATTTTGGTTTATATAGAAGTTGTATAAGGGATGGAAGGAGAGAGGACTGGGGCTCTTGCTCTTAGCTCCTGTACCAAGCCCTAAGCCCTACGCCCTACGCCCTATGCCCTATGCCCTACCCTACACCCACTCCTCGCTCAAAGCAGGTGCTTCTTGCCAGCTGCGATGAGGAGGCGCGACAGGGTGTTAAACCCACTCTGAGAAGAGTCGTTGGGATTTGTATCCTTATACTAAGAGTCCTTAGTAGGGATTACAGAGTACCCCCTACTATATTCCCCCTTATACTAACAGTCCTTAATAGGGATTATAGAGTACCCCCTATTATAATCCCTATTAAGGACTGCTAGTATAAGGGGGGACATCCCAAAAGATCCGCATCAAAGTGCCAAGAAGCTTAGAACGTGGGCGGACTTAACTGGAATGCTGTTTTGTGTAGCGTGCATGTTTATTTAGATGTTAAAAAGAAGCACTATAGACCCCATACTAACACAACAAAAACACGGTCTACTCAAACAGAGTTAAAACAAACATCTTCCTGCGTTCTCATACAGACATTTTGTATGCAAGCCTCCAGGGTCCACCTCTCAGATTCAGCACATGAAGCCCCAACACCTCCAAATGTCTCCAAACCACGCCCCCCTAAACCCCCAAACCCTAAAACCCCTAAACCCTTAACCCCAAACCTAAACCCAAAACCCCCAGAGGCCACGTTGGCAGAGCTCCGGGGTCTCTCGGGCACGCCGCTGCGACTGCAGGCGTGATCGTTTAAGCCTGTCGGCTTTCCAATTTTGTGTTATTGGGGTTTTAGGATATAAGGTTCAGGGCTAGGGGTTAGTGGTCTGGGTTTAGCGTTTAGGTTTTTGGGGTTTAGGGATGTTCACCTTCGAATTGTTTGCCCCGGTGGAGCAACGAAGCGGCTAAACCCATATCCCTCGATGGCTGGCGTGTTTCATACTGTCAAATCTTCATGGGTTTAGATGCTAGAGTAGGCCCTTGTTCCCTTGCTTTGGGGCTCGGGTGTTCCCGTACACGGTGTACAGTTACACCCATGTAAACCAAGATACCAGGACCCAGAGTAGGCACTTAATTCCCTTTTTGTGGGGTTTCGGGTTCCCCTAGCTTAGGGGCCTTTGTAAGCCAACAGGGGCGCCCTGTTTTTTGCTAGGTTACTCTTGGGTCTAGGATAGAGGCGTCGCCATTGAAACCCTCGTCTAGATAGTGCCACCAGCATCGCAATCTCAACAAATGGATTATGATGAGCTCTCCTGGTATCCGAACAGCCCTAAACCCCGGCTAGCATTAAGCTCGTGCGGAGGTCTCGGCAAGTGGCGATGTCACCTGGGAGAAGGTGCGGACTGTAAATGTCTCATGGTCCCCTAAACCCAAAAAAGAGTACCCTGCTTAAACTATGGTTGCTGGGCTACCTGGCCCTAAACGCTGTACGCCCAATCATCACCCGTTGAAAGCTAGGCAGCACCATGGGCTGCGTACGTTTCAGAAAGGTGATGCGTAGGGTCTAGGGTTTAGGGTTTAGGGTTTAGGGTGTAGGGTGCAGGATTTAGGGTTTAGGGTTTAGGGCTTAGGGTTTAGGGTTGAGGATTTAGGGTTTAGTTTGCCTCAGCCTCTCTGCTTTCAACCCTGCTCTGTAAGTAGCCCTGAACCTCGAAGTATTGGGTTTCAGAGGACCCCCCCACCCACCCCAACTGGGTGATGGAAACTCCCTAAACCCGAATCTCCGATGATACTCTGCTACTGTCTTATAACCTGTTCAACGTCTTATCTTTTATTATGCTGTAAGGTGTTCTATGTATGGCTACATGTTGCTCCCCCTCCCTCATAGTTCCGCTTGCACTCGCCGGACGCTTCCTTAATCCCCTCCCGTTCTGGTTATGGCAGGGTTCTTAAACACTAAGCCCTAAACGCTAGAAACCCCACACGCCCCAAACCTTAAAAAACCCACAGAAACCCTCAAATCCTTATGACCCCCTGCACCCTCGGGAAGCCTAAACCCTTCAGCCCTGAACCCTAACCCGACACCACAAAGCCGGGGCTACTTAGGCATATAAGGACTCTATAAGGTCTAAAAAGGGGTTATGTATGGGTTCCCTAAACCCTGAACCCAAAGCCCGACAACGCAATTACCTGCACCCCGCTGGTTCTTAGAGTAGGGAATGAGGGAGGCCTCTATAACAACAAAAAGAACAACGAAGGCCCAAAAGTCGCGGAGTTGACAGTTATACACCCACCTCACGGAACCCGATAAGCCGGCATTGGGTTAATCTGCATTTTGAATCTGTAGCGGACAATGCTGTTTTTAGCTTTGTAGATCTGTGGTCTTTCTATGCAAATTGTGCGTTTAGAGTGCTAATAATATTTTGTTGAGCAACTAACTTGTTTTATCAATTGTCTTTGCACTAGGCAAAGTATTCAGCAAATACTATCTGAAAAGTCCACTGAAATACCTGGTGTTTACATATTCATAAAATATTTTATAATTTTGAAATAGTCATTCTATGCGAATTGAACTACTAGAGTAATTATTAAGCAAATAGCCCAATTTGACTCAAGTGAATACTTTTTAAAGGACCATACTCAACCAAAATCCGAACAAGCAGTACTTAGTGAAGGCCATACATAAGCAAATTCACAAATGCAAAACAACATCCAATAGCACAAGCTTTTCAGGAGAATCTCTGGTGAAGTTTGGATTGTAGGGCTGTGGAGTATCCCTGGACGAGGAGGAGTCACTTTTTAAGCAAACAATTCTAAGCAATAAATGCTTTTTCTCAAGACAAGTGTTCCAAATGCTTCTTCCAGATAATGATTGCTTTTACTAGGCAAACATTATCTATGCGAATTTAGCTACCAGAGCACCAAGTAATGGCTGAGAAGGTCTACACTTGTGTACAGCCAAAAAATGCACTAAACACTAGTTGAAATAGAAGCGAAGCGGTTCTACTTACATAATAACGAAACAATAAGTTCTGAAGCACTTAAAAAGAAAACTTGTATACTACTTCTGAAAAGCACAATTTGCATAAGGACACTCAAAAAGGCGTAGTCATTGCCTCGTAAAGGCGAACCAAAAAAAACAAAAAACAAAATACCAAAAACACAAAAAACCAAAAAAACAAAAAACTCAAAAAAAAAAAAAACTAAACAAAAAACTAACAACAATTTTCCGGAACTTTCGCAGAAGCCTAGTAGGGATTCCTGAGATTCCGCGTTGTTTTTTGTTTTCTTGGTTTTTGGTTTTTTTGGTGTTGTTGTTATTGGCTTTGTTTGTTTTTGTTTTTTTGGTTTTGGTGCTTTTTGTTTTTCTACTGTCCCGGGTATGCGGATTTTAGTTTTGTTTTAGTCTACGCCCTAGGACATGCGCTATGTTGCACCACCGAGTTTGCTTGCAGTGCAGCTGGGTGACTTGAGACAGGCGAAAAATCTAGGTCGCTGGGGGGGGGGGGGGGGGGACCATATATATATATATATATATATATATGAGCGACCGTCAAAATTAGCGTTGATGAGCTTTAGTAAGGGACGGACATCAGTTTATGGTTTGGTGGCTTTTCATCTGCAGAACGATATGGGACACGCAGAGAACGATAACCCCAACATGGTGAAAAATATATGCGAGGTAGGGTTTAGGGTTTAGGGTTTAGGGTTTAGGGTTTAGGGTTTAGGGTTTAGGGTTTAGGGTTTAGGGTTTAGGGTTTAGGGTTTAGGGTTTAGGGTTTAGGGTTTAGGGAGGGACTTAGTATGAAATTGGCGGAAGCGCGCTTTAACGTGCAGAACGATACGGGACACGCAGAGAACGATAACCCCAACATCCATGTCCTTCAGCTTAACAAGTAATATTGACCGCTGCTCTATAAACACATATATATATATATATCCCCAAACCCTAAACCCTAAACCCTAAACCCTAAACCCTAAACCCTAAACCCTAAACCCTAAACCCTAGGTATCTATATATATATATATATGTAGGGCCCTGCTTCCCTCATTCCCTACCAAGAACCACGGGGCACTGCAGGCGGCGCTGCCGGCGGAGGCCTCCGCTGCCACCCCAGCACCGACGCGTCTGGCGGACCGGTGTGGGGAGTTCCTGAATATCTCTTTAGGGTTTAGGGTTAGGGTGTAGGGTTTAGGGTTTAGGGTTTAGGGTTTAGGGTTTAGGGTTTAGGGTTTAGGGTTTAGGGTTTAGGGTTTAGGGTTTAGGGATGTTCCCCCTTAGAATACGAGCAGTCTTCAATAGGGATGGAAACAAAGGGTACTAAAAAAGTCTATTCAGGACTCTTAGTGAAAGCAGGAACATCCCATGTTAGTTAAGCAGGGACATCCCGAGGTCCAGGGTTTAGGGATTATTCGGGCCAAGGGTTTCAGGCTTAGGGCTCGGATTTTGGGATTTTGGGGCTTATAGGGGTTAGGGTTTGGGTTTAGGGTTTAGGGTTAAGGTTCAGGGTTTAGGATTATTCGGGCCAACGGTTTCAGGCTTAGGGCTCGGATTTTGGGATTTTGGGGCTTATAGGGGTTAGGGTCGTTCGCAGCTACCATTTCCATTTTCTAACCATGCACACCCCCCCCCAGCACCCAAACCATAGCAACCTATGCCTCAACCCTAAACCCACCGAAAGACCCATAGGAAGACCTCAATCCAAAGACCCAAAACCATAACAACCTGATTATGCCTCAACCCTAAACCCACCAAAAAACCAACACTAATACCCACATGATGGAACCACCAGAAGAACCATACACCACCCCATAGAAAAACCCAACCTCAACCCCATAGACCCGCACCCCCGTAGAAAAACCATATTCCCGAACCCGAACTCCCTAACCCTAGAACATGGAAATGGTACTCTCTAATGGAATATCTTTAGTAGGAATAAGGCAAGGTCGGACCGACAGGAACGATACTTGCAGCAGCATAGCATGAGCTACTTGTCCAAAATTCCGTTTTCAGCTTCAACCGACCCTCACTGGAGCATGTCTTCCTGCATCCATTTCTCAGTGGCCATGAAAGCTGGCCTGGCGTTTGCCTTGTTCTTTGGGGCACCCAGGGCGCCATTCCAGTCTTTTCTTGCGGTCCGTCCTGGCTCCTGGCTCGTTCGCACACAGGGTCAGTCACGTTTCGCCTGGCCAAGCAAAATGAACAGACGGACTCGGACTTGCGCATTCTCACCAAGTTCCGGGAGATGTTCGAGTTTCCAACAGTTGCATAGTGAGGAAGACTGTATTCAGCGGACATGCGCAGCGCGGTTTGCCAGTTTCAGCGTCTCAATGCGGGCAGATGGTCAGCTCGTCTGCTTCGGATCCAATGGTGCTGGGCGGTGTGACGTCCCAGCAGATTTGGGACCAGTTTTGGCAGTTGCAGCGGGCCATGTGCATACTTGTGCAATGCGTGCAGATGGTCAGCTCGTCTGCTTTGGATGCAATGATTATGGGCAGTGTGACGTCCCAGCAGATTTGGGACCAGTTTTGGCAGTCGCAGCGGGCCAATATCATACTTGTGCAGTGCGAACAGATGGTCAGCTCGTCTGCTTTGGAGACAATGGTTCTGGGCAGTGTGACGTCCCAGCAGATTTGGGACCAGTTTTGGCAGTTGCAGCGGGCTATGTGCATACTTGTGCAATGCGGGCAGATGGTCAGTTCGTCTGCTTTGGGTGCCATGATTCTGGGCAGTGTGAAGTATCAGCAGATTTGGGGCCAGTTTTGGCAGTTGCAGTGGGCGATTTTCATACCTGTGCAGCGCGGTCAGATGGTCAGCTCGTTTGCTTTGGATACAATGGTAGATTTGGGACCAGTTTTGGCAGTCGCAGCGGGCGATCTTCGTACTTTTGCAGTACGGTCAGATGGTCAGCTCGTCTGCTTTGGAGCCAATGGTGCTGGGCGGCGTGCCGTCCCAGCAGATTTGGGACCAGTTTTGGCAGTTGCAGCGGGCGATTTTCATACTTGTGCAATGCGAGCAGATGGTCAGCTCGTCTGCTTTGGATACAATGATTATGGGCAGTGTGACGTCCCAGCAGATTTGGGACCAGTTTTGGCAGTCGCAGCGGGCAAATATCATACTTGTGCAGTGCGAACAGATGGTCAGCTCGTCTGCTTTGGAGACAATGGTTCTGGGCAGTGTGACGTCCCAGCATATTTGGCACCAGTTTAGTGTGTGTCATTGTCATACTTGTGCTGCGCAGAAAGAAACAGAAAGTCAGCTTGTCGGCTTTGGAGATAACGTTTATGGGAAGAGTCATGTGCCCAACCGGTGATTGTGAATGAAATAGAGACTGCTTACCCTCAAAAGCCTTCAGTAGTTCGAATCTCAGATATGCCTACTATTACTTCAACCCTGCAATGATTTGACCGAATTTGTTTTCAATACTTTCTATGGTCTAAATATGTTGGCTGTAATTTCCCACTCTGTTCTTTTCATTCGGTTCTCGCTTCCTAATTATCTTAACTTCATCCCCTGCATCTAGTTCAGGATAAACGCGGTTCTTTTTCCCTTCATCGTTAAATTTATTTTCACTTTGAGCTGATTACCGGGTTTGCGCGCTTCTTGTGGCGCAAATCCCGTGGCCGAGTGCTTCATTTGATTATTATAGGTTAGTAATATTTCTAATCTGTAATCTGGCCATTGGATGTGTTGCTTTCCTTTTTTCTCGTCCGCTTCAACTCTCCTATGGCTCTTTCGCTAAAATTGGGTGCGCCCTCGTTCGGTGGTGTTCTATGTTTTCATCCTTCAAATACTTTGCTTCCTTGATCAATGCCCCTTTCATCGTCTGTGTAAATGATTTCGGGTTTCTTACCCATCTTGTTTAAACACTCAACCATTCCACTCGCAATGTCTTCCTCTTGTTTGCTTGTTTCGGCGCCACGTGCATGAATGTATCAAAAACATCAATCATTAACACAGCTACCTTAAAACTTTTGTTCATCCAAATCGTTTATGAAAAAACAAATCCATCTGATATTCATTGGCGGAGTGGGGGGCGATAAAGCTGTTTTGGCCTTCAACATTTTTTTCTAAAAACCTCGTTAATATCGCCCATTCTTATAGTTTTGTCCTTTTCCTGTGCTTCCGCTAATGTTCTGGATTTACTCCCAAACCCCGCCTTATCAAAATTTACATCATCAATGATTTTCTGTTTTCACTCATATAAATAAGTAACAAAAATAATGATTTACTACAATTAAGTAAATCATCATGTCAAAGAATTAGACATAATCACTTTGGATTCATTCATATCGTATTTGGGAGCTCCGCGCTTCTTTCCGCTAGGTTTTTTCTCAGTACTGATTTCGGTAATTTGTGTCGGTGTCAAATCTTCTTCACTTAATTTTTTCTACATATTCCTTAATTCTATTTTTTTGGGCGTGCCTTAAGCTTGTTTCGCGCTTCTTTTGCATAAACTGTTCATCTTCCCTGCGCTTGGCATAATACAAGCGCTGATACAATGCCAGTTGTTGCTTAATCTCATCCATTGTCATATCCTCGCGACTTTACAGTTATTCATGTTACTATACTATATATTAACATTTTATCTTTAGATATGGGTTTCTAGATATAGCAAAAAATCTTTAGAAGAAGTATTTTAAAATAGATTTAATTTTTATTGTAATTATTTTGTATACGAGCAAAAATATTATGCGTAACACGAAAGCACTACAAACAACCTACGATAATTACAAGAATCGTTTAACACAAGGCACCAGAGCAAACATACAAAGTCTAATTGATTTTTTTATGAAGACCGTAAAATAGCACAATTCACCACCGCGGATAATTTAGTCAGACAGTGTATAACCGCAAAAACCGACAAAAAATCGAAAGCAAACACAGCATACGACAAAATCCACGACAAGCACCACGACGAAGCAAAGAAGGAAAACAAAAAACGAAATACCGCCAGTATCTACTCTATAGACGTAATGTTTTATAAGCTTAAGTTAGACAAAGACGATGTTATTAAAACTGCTTTCAAAGATGCTAAAGGCAGGTCGTTAATCTATTTCTGGAGAGAACCTAAAACTGCAAATGTAAAGGCAACAAAATATATATGGCGGATTCAGTAGGAAAGCGTATCTTTCTTAGGATTTAGGGTTTAGGGTTTGGGGTTTAGGGTTTAGGGTTTAGGGTTGTTTAGCGTTCAGGGTTCAGTGTTTGGGGCGAAGCGCATCATTGGTCTAGTTTTGATTTGACTCCGCTTGGCGACAGTGCGTGCAGAGCGTGCAGCAGCAGCGTATTCCGTCGTAAACCGGCGTGGGCAACCCCACACCCTGAGACTCTAAACCTACAGGGTGGGGCCCCCTAGTTATAAGTAGAGTTATAAGGGCCCTAAATTGGGTTATAAGGACCCTAAGTTAGGTTATAAGTCCCTTAACTACAGTTAGTATAGTAAGGGGGCCCCACCCTGTACCTGCACATGCAGTGATTTTGCAAATGCGTGCAAGGCCATGTGACTGCCCGGAGCGGTCTGAGGCCTCAGCCCTCAACCCCAAACCCCTAACTTCCTCAACTCCAAGCCCGACACCCTAAACCTCACATCCCTAAACCCCAAACCTCATAAGCCTAAACCCCAAACCTCATACCCCTAAACCCCAAACCTCACATCCCTAACCCCAAACCTCATACCCCTAAACCCCAAACCTCAAACCACAAACTCTAAACATCCTGCCCCTAAACCCTGAACATCATATCCCTAAACCCTAAACCTCATACCCCTGAACCCTAAACATCATCCCCCTGAACCCTAAACCTCATACTCCTGAACCCTACACCTCATACCCCTGAACCCTAAACCTCATACCCCTAAAACCTTGCACCTCATACCCCTAAGCCCCAAACCCCAAACCCCAAACCCTAAATGCTAAACCCTAAACCCAAACCCTAAACCCTAAACCCTAAACCTCACAAACCTTCTAAACCGCCAGGAGACCATGCAGAAGCCCCCGAAGCCGCCCAGCCTCGTCTTAGCGTCTCCGGACTTCACGAAGAACACCCGGAGCATCGGAGGTGGGGTGGCCTAGGGCTTAGGGTTTAGGGTCTAGGGTTTAGGGTTTAGGGCTTAGGGCTTAGGGTGTCTTACGTTCTGGGTTGCTCGCTGGGCTCCGGGGGCTCACCTCATTTGATCCTCACCGGCCCCGCTGCTCGGGTCGCTCGCAACATCGCGCGGCGGTAAGCCCAGCCCAAGCCACCCTGCATATTTGTTTTTAGGGGTCAGTTCCTAGAGTCTGGTTTTGCTTTTTCCAGCGGGGGCATGCTGTGCCGCTGCGTGCGCTGTTTCTGCACCGTCCAGACCTGAGCCTCACGGCTGCAAAGATCTGCCCTTAAAACTAGGCTGTGAAAAGGTCGCGGGGGTAGCCCTTCATCATCAAAATCGAGACGTGCTTGTTTGCGTTTGGCATCCTTCCTCCGCCGTCACGGAAGGCTTTGGTTTGGGTTACCGTAGGGGTACCGCTGCCCTCGACAGGGCCAGCATCCCGACCGTTTGGCATCCCTGTCTGCCGTCACCCGGTTTAGGGTCATGGCAGGGGCACTGCTGACTTTCGACCGGGCCAAAGGCTCAGAAATGGTCTGGAAAAAGCCCAAAGAGGCTCAGAAATGGCCTGGAGAAGCCCAAAAAAGCTCAGAAATGGTCTGGGAGAGCTCAAAAATGGTCTAGGAGAAGCTGGAAAAGCTCAGAAATGGTCTGGGAGAAGCCCAAAAAGGCTCAGAAATGGTCTGGGAGGTTCAGTAGGGTCTTTACCTTTACACTCAAAGGCGCGACCGCCTTGACGCCCCAGCTTTACCTGGGCTGCACGTTCAGTGCTCTCAGGTCACTCGCGAAGCTCGACGGCTTCGGGCCTTCAATTGTTGGTAGCGAGGCCTCAGCAAAGACTTTAGGTTTTAGGGTGGCCAGCGTGGCCAGGCTGCTTGAGGATTGCTAGCTCGTTTAGAGGCTTTGCGATTTCGGGCTTAGGGTTAGGTTAGGGCTTAAACCTTCCAGAGCTTTAGGCTTTAGGGTTTGGGCTTTTTGGATTTGTGGTTTAGGGTGTAAGCCTTTTATGGCCTTGGGCTTTTGTGGGCTTCAGGGCTTGAGGGCTTCAGGGCTTGAGGGCTTCAGGGCTTGAGGGCTTAGGGCTTTAGGGCTTAGGGCTTTAGGGCTTCAGGGCTTTAGGGCTTCAGGGCTTTAGGGCTTCAGGGCTTTAGGGCTTTAGGGTTTCAGGGCTTTAGGGCTTCAGTTAGGGTCTTGGGGCTCTATAGAGTGTAGGGGTCACCCCAACTACCCTTGAGTTGTAGGTTCTCGAAGGGCCTGATCAGGGCACTTGGAGGTAGTTAAGTGGGGGGTGTGGTTCTGAGAGGTTGCTACCTTATTACGGGCCCTTCTGTACTTCAAACCCTAAAGCCTAGCCTTCAAGCAGAATGGGGTAGTTGGGGTTTAGGGTTTTAGGGTTTTAGGGTTTAGGGTTTAGGGTTTAGGGTTCAGGGTTTAGGGTTTAGGGTTGAGGGTTTAGGGCCAGTGCCATGTCCCTGGAGACAAGTCCAGGTTCACATTGCTCACCGAAAAGACCAGGACCATCAAACCCTAGGACATGAGCCCCCGACAAACCCTAAAACCCTACATATCCCACATCCCCTACAACCTCTACAACCCTTACAAACCCCGCAAGCTCTAGCTGTCACGTCAAGCAAACAGTGGAGACAACGGGAGACAAAGGGAGGCGAAGGGAGACGAATGGAGACAAAGGGAGACGAGGAGCCAAGCAACCCGGCGAAGGGAGACAAAGGGAGACAAAGGGAGACAAAGGGAGACAAAGGAGCCCAGGAACCCGGCAACAGTCCTCAGAATGTCGGCAATCCTTAAATGAATTTAGAACCCCAACAGTAGACTGTTTGGGGAATTATTCTCTTGTTTTTTTGCGGCTCTTAAGAAAATTGAACGGGACCTCCTTTTGGTTCCTAAACCCTAAACCCTAAACCCCAAACCCTAAACACGAAACCCGAAACCCGAAACCCTAAACCCTAAACCCCCTCAAGGGGTAGCTGCTTGAGGCAAGTCCTTGCACCTTGCCGAGCTTGCCGCAGCGTCGGGGCAGTTTGCCGTGCCCAACAGCGCCACTGTGCCCTACGGAGCGAAGGGGGTAGGGTTTAGGGTTTAGGGCTTAGGGTTCAGGGTTCAGAGTTCAGGGTTTAGGGTATAGGGTTTAGGGTTTCGGGTTTCGGGTTTCGGGTTTGGGGTCTAGGGTTTAGGGTTTAGGGCTTGGGGCTTAGTGTTTAGGGTTTAGGGCTTAGGGTTTCAGCAGCTCTGGATCGAGCAAAGTTGGCAATGGCCATCGCTTTTTGCCAATGGCCACGTTCCCCAATGAGGGGGGGCGGGGGGCATTTTGTCATTTTGGTGACCAACCTAAATGACATTGGTGGCCATTGGCAGAAAAGCCGTGGCCATTGGGCAACTTTCACGTGGCCATTGGCAAATTTGCCAATGGCCACGGCTTTTGGCCAATGGCCACGGTGTTTTTGCCAATGGCCTTTGCTTTTTTTGCCAATAGCCACGGTTTTCTTTTCTTGCCATGGCCACGTTCCCCATTAAGGTTTAAATATAAATGTATGTACATATATATATATATGTATATATAGACATATGAAAGAGAGGGTGTCGGGCTTAGGGTTTAGGGTTTAGGGGCCGTTGCAGGGCGAAACTCGGCCATTCGGTGCTTGGAGATCTCGGAATTCGGGGATTCCTTCTGAGGAGTTTTTGAGTTTGGGTTTCGGACCTTTGGATTTAGAGTTTAGGGTTTAGGAGGGGCTGTAGGAAACTGAATCCCGAAAACCCTCCAAGCGCCCCTTGGACCCCACAATGTGAACTCGGAAGCCCTCAAAGTGCATAAAACCCTCAAGCTACACCTTCCAACCGTCCTGAATGCTACAAGACCCAACACGATTAGAATACAAGCTCAACAGTGCTGGTACATACATATACATATATACATATACATATATATATATACATATACATATACATATACATGTACATATACATATACACATACACATACATATATATATATATACACATATATATATATATATGGCGACCCGAAGTCCTGCTTATGTGAGCGCGTGAAGGTGTCGAGTTTTAGAGTTCAGGTTTTAATAAGCCATGACGGTTTCCAACGAAGGCATCAGGGCTCTCCCACTGCTCGAGCAGCATGGGGGCCGCTCAAGGGATTTTAGGGGTGGTTTAGGGTTTAGGGTTTAGGGTTTAGGGTTTAGGGTTTGGGGTTTGGGGTTTGGGGTTTCGGAAGCATTTCTCACAAGAGGAGTCTTCGAGCAGATTTTGGGCGACGGCGCTTCTCGGATCGCAGTGTTTTGCTAGAGGCTACAGAACTTCACTCCACAAGCCATCATGTCGGTCGGGTTTCGGGCTTCGGGCTTAGGGTTTAGGGTTTAGGGGTTTTTGGTGTCGGTCGGATTTGGCTCGACCAAGGGGACTGCCATAGGCCAGGCCTGTAGGACTGTAGGACTAGGCGGATGCAATCGCAGGATCTCCAGTATAGGATCGCTAGCAGTCGCTTGTATGGCCCTTATTCGCGCAAGCGAAGGCACACTGCTTATTGAAACACCTCCACATCCTGCTCGTGTCCATATAACGAAAGCGACGATCCCTCGTTATCCAGTAAAGCTCCGAAGTTACGGGGGCCAAGGCAACTGGAAGCCCCCCTGTGCTTCACCACCCGAAGTCCTGACTCCCAATTAGGGTTTAGGTTCAAAAACCCTAAGCCCTAACACCTAGCCCTAAACCCTATGACCCAAACGGCCCAAACCCCTCAGTGCCTGAGCAGCTGGAGTCCTCACTACCCCTAAACCCTAAACCCTAAACCCTAAACCCTAAACCCTAAACCCTAAACCCTAAACCCTAAACCCTAAACCCTAAACCCTAAACCCTAAACCCTAAACCCTAAACCCTAACCCCTAAACCCTAAACCCTAAACCCTAAACCCTAAACCCTAAACCCTAAACCCTAAACCCTAAACCCTAAACCCTAAACCCTAAACCCTAAACCCTAAACCCTAACCCTAAACCCTAAACCCTAGCCCCAAACCCTAAACCCTAAACCCCTGAGTGCTCTGCCTGGGCGGTACCCCATCATCCCTCAGCATCCATCGAAGATCCGAGCGGTCACACTTTGCCTTGCTTGGAGGTACATGGGCACTTAGAGGTAGGTTTAGGGTTTAGGGTTTAGGGTTTAGGGTTTAGGTTTTAGGGTTGAGGGCTTAGGGGTTCAGGGTTTAGAGTGAGGTTGTAACCTTCTTTGGCTATAGCTGCGCTACAATGTTCAGCGCACCACACCCTCAAACCTACGTTCATCCAAGTTCCGAAAATGCCCGCAACCCTAAACCCCAAACCCCAAACCCTAAACCCTAAACCCCAAACCCTAAACCCCAAACCCTAAACCTTAAACTCGAAACCCTACTCTTTTTGTGCCCCTTGAACCTGCTAGTGTCCTAGGCCAACGAAGGCCTGCTGGAGGAGTTGGAGGAGATCTTAGGTGAAGGCCTGGTCGCAGGGTTTAGGGTTTAGGGTGTAGGGTAAAAGGGGTTTTGGGGCCTTAGGCAGGGTTTAGCGCCTTTAGGGCGTAGGATTTGAGGCTTTAGGGTTTAGGGCCTTTAGGGTTTGGGGCCATATGAGGGCTTATCGGGTACGTAGACGAGCCTAGGAGGGGGCTGGGTCCTCTTCGTGCTGTTGGCGAATTGTAAGCCTCACGATGTTCTGGATTAGGCAGGACTTTTCGACCCCTAAAGCCTAAAACCCTACACGCTAAACCCTAAACCCTAAACCCTGAGACCAGAACCCTAAACCCTAAACCCTAAACCCTAAACCCTAAACCCCTACAAACCCTCAGCCCGCGAAGGGCAGTTGGCCGAAGCCCGGCAGTTCCTCGTCGACGAGCTTGCCGCGTCCCGAGGATGGGTGCCGACTCACACCGAGGTGAAGCAAGGGTTTAGGGTTTAGGGTTTAGGGTTTAGGGTTTAGGGTTTAGGGTTTAGGGTTTAGGGTTTAGGGTTCGGGTTTAGGGTTTAGGGCTTAGAAAGCTTTTGGCCTCCGGAAAGTTGTTGGTCCTGATGGGGCTCTGGAACCCTGAGCTCCAAACCCTAAGCCCAACGCAACCCCTCTCGGAGGTTCATGGGTACTTATAAGTAGGGTTAGGGTTCAGGGTTTAGGGTTTAGGGTTTAGGGTTTAGGGTTCAGGGTGTAGGTTTTAAGAGTACGCTGCATAAGGTTCTAAGTATTGTATGGTTACCCTAAACCCTAAACCCCAAGTAATTCAATAACTCTACTTATAAGTACCCATGAACCTCCAGGCTCGCCTAAACTCCCAACCCGGAATCCCAAACCCGAAGGTCTCGGAAAGTCTTGGAGCTGTCTTCGTAGACATCCCACGCACTTCGATAGCCTTTGATGCTGCTTGAGAGTTCGGGTTTAGGCAGGGCTTAGGGATTTGGGCTTTGGGTTGCAGCCATCGCGGGCTCTCCGAGGCCGTGCCGGACCAGATTGGCGCAGACTTGTGCAAGGCCACGCAGAGCGGGGGTGGGGGGGGGGGGGACATAAGGTTGCCTAAGCTCATATAGGGGTCGGAATAGTTACTGTTAGTATACCCTTATGGTTACCATATAAGCATACTATAATAACCCACAACCTTAATTACCATTTGAAGGGTCCCTTCCTTGGGAAGTTGCGTTGCGTCTGTGTCCGGCTCCTGGCGTGCGAAAACTCTGTTGAGGCACGCTGGCCTTGCAAGCCTTGCTGTCATCCAAGGCGATATGCAACCTTCATATGTTTCTGCTTATCTGCCTTTACATTAAATATTGTTTGTAGTTGCAAGAGAATAGGACCCCCCAAGAAATATTCAAAAAAAGTCATATGTTGAAAATAAGCATAAAAATGAATACGTAAATAAATATGAGTATATATATATATAGAAAAACAGAGTCCCTCCCCCCCCATTACAAAAACAAAAAAGACGTGGCTGCAGGCTTTGGGTCGGTCGGACCTGGGCGACTGGAAGACGGCTCTCTCCCGCGTATGGGCCTCCAAGTGGACCGCTTCTTGGCCAAGAGGGTGAAGTGAAGATCTCGGGTTTGTTTGTGTGTGTGTGTGTGTGTGTGTGTCTCTTTTTTGTGTTTGTTTGTCTTTTTTTTTGAGAGGGGGGGGTGGGGTTGTGGGCTTATGGGCTTTTACGGGCTTTCGGAGGGGTTATCATGGGTTCCCGTACTACCCCCCCTCTATACTACCCCCCCTAGGTGCCCCCCATAATTCAGGTTATTTTGGGAGAATGAAGCCTATTTAAGGGGGGAACCTAGGGGGGGTAGTATAGAGGGGGGGGTAGTAGGGGGAACCATGAACCTTCGGAGGGTTTTGAGTTCGAGCACGGTTGGCCTCGAAGGGTTTTACCACTGGTACCTTGACCTCATTTTTGGTTCTTTTGCGGCGTGCCTAGGGGTTAGGGTTTAGGGTTAGGGTTTAGTGTTTAGGGTTTAGGGCTTAGGGCTTAGGGTTTAGGGTTTAGGGTAAGGTATAAAACGGGGTTTGGAGTACTATACGTTAATGCTTGTCTGAGTTCTGGGTTCCTATGAAAACTACTTTATACCTAACCAAGTATGCTCTTTGTTCCAGGGTCTGTCTACTCCAAAAAGTAGGGGGAATTACGCTTCAACTGCAGGAAGGTTCCCGAGTGATCTAGGGAATTCTCCGAAGAGTGACGGGGGTGTTAGGCTCTATGTCTTCGGAATTCAATGTTGCCCTAAACCCTAAGCCCCTAAGACCCTAAACCCTAAACCTAGTCTCTTAGTTCTGTGTAGACAAACCGAGACCTAAACATGTACACCCCGAAGCCCTAAAACCTTAAACTTAAGCCCCAGCTTGGGAGTTCCCCTTTGGAATCAGTCCTTAATCGGGAGTTTACTAGGGGGTAATATTAATCCCTATTAAGGCCTGTTTAGTTAGAGGGGGAACACCCCAAACAACCTACTACCTAGGCAACACGTGTGATTCTAGGGGGCGTAGGCCTGAGCCTGAATCTCACGAAGTTCCGAGTTCTCAAAAGGCATGGGCCCCTAGACCAGAACCTCAGACCCTAAACCCCAAACCCAAACCCCAAAAAACCCTAAACCCTCAAACCCTCAACATAAACCCCTAAACAGCAGGATAGCGCAGTTGCAAGCGCAGTTGCAAGCACGCAGATGAAGGTTCCTTGGCGCCTCCCCTTTGGCCCTCTTTTGCAGATTTGCCGAGGTCTGGGGTTTAGGGTTTAGGGTCTGGGGTTTGCGATTGCGGCGGCTTGGGTTTTTTTTGGTTTTGTTTGGGTGCTTTGGGTTATACTAGCTTTGGGGTGTTTGGGGTTTAGGATTCAGGGTTCAGAGTTTAGGGTTTGCAGGGTTCAGATTTCGGCTTGTTGAAAATCTGGCAGCCGAAGAGTTTCGGTAGGGCAGCCTCTTTCAGTAGCCCCTTGATCAAACAGGGTTGCCTTCGAATACATCAACTGCTATTTGCTTAGAAGCCCCAACAAACCAAAAGATGATTATAGCGCAATATAGGGACCTCTTTTTTTCTTTTTTTTTTTGGGGGGGGGTTCTTCAAGCATAATAGTAGAAAAGCTTTTGTTAATGATGATGAAGCCCGAGACTTCCTGACCTTTCCTAAACCCTAAACTTTTCCAAGAGCTCTTATTCTCACTCAAGGGCCTAGACCTAAAACCCTCAACCTAAACCCTAACCTAAACCCTAAAACCCTAAACCCACCCAACATGTTAGGGTTTAGGGTTAGGGTGCCTTTTGGAGGCTCCGGCTTGCTGTCATGTGCTTAATGTCCATTTCGGGGTTTTGGTTTAGGGTGTAGCCTTTCCGGGGTTTAGGGTTTAGGGTTTAGGGTTTAGGGTTTAGGGTTTAGGGTTTAGGGTGCTCTCTCCCAGACGTAGACAAGCCAAAGGTTCCTCCCCTCCGCCCTCCTGCAACACTGTGCCTGTTGTATAGGGTTCTTCAAGCAGGGGGGTTCACAGGGGGGCCTATATGTAACCGAAGGTTCCCTATACTTCCCACTACTCCCACTACTCCCAAGGCGTCCCTAAGCTTTCCCTAAGGCTCTAGATACTAGGCCCCCCTACCTCAAGAACCCTATACTGGTAGCCCTAAACCCTAAACCCTAAACCCTCAACCCTCAACCCTCTAACTGTTGCCACCAGGTCCCTGACTCTGCGCTCTACCTGGCTGTGCGCCCTGGCTGGACATGGGGAGGGGGGGGGGGGTTTTGGAGTTTAGGGTTGAGGGTTTAGGGTTTGGGGTTTAGGGTTTAGGGTTTAGCGAAGGTCTTAGGGCTAAGGGTTTAGGGTTTCGGGTTTAGGGGGGAGGGGGGTGGTCGATCATCTAACTGAATCTAAGTATGCGGGCACCCTGTGAACTGTGGGCAGTCCGAGCGTCGCAGGCCCTCACCGTTTTTCTTTCTCTCTACGATGTTTACGACAGCCTAGGCAATTGGGCACGACGTCTGCAGCGTCTATTGATACCCACTGAGTCAGTTCTACCATCTACTGGGGTTGAGGAATTATAGGGTTTAGGCTAAACCCTAAACCCTAAACCCTAAACCCTAAACCCTAAACCCTAAACCCTAAACCCTAAACCCTCAGCAAATGAGGCGATACAATCCTACAATGTGTCCATTTTCGGCCAAGGCTGGTTCAGCCGCTGGTGTTCGCACAGCACCTCTCCAGCAAAGAGGGGCTGGTCTAATTTCAGGGCTTAGGGTTTAGGGCTTAGGGCTTAGGGTTTAGGGTTTAGGGCTTAGGGCTTAGGGCGTAGGGCTTAGGGTTTAGGGTTTAGGGTTTAGGGTCTTTATGAGCGTGGCGCTGTGCGCGCGGATGGGAATGCAGAAGCCTTTTGCTTGTGGAAGCTCCGCGGAAGCCTTGCCCCGGAAGCTCCAGCCAAAACTTGAACCCTACACGCGAGAGTGAGCGACGAAACCCTACCTGTGTCCGGCGGGACACCGATCTAAAAATCTCATCAAGGGGGATGTGCGGGGAAGCTCCGCGGAAGGGTCGGAAGCTGTGCGGAAGGGGCGGGCTCGAATCTGGCTCAGCAGACTTGCGCCCAGCAAGCATTTACACACCCCTAAACCCTAAACCCTAAATCCTAAACCCTAAACCGTCTGTGCGACTTTACAATGCGCGTGTCGATGTTTCTCGCTTCTTAAGATGCACCGGAGACGAGATTGCGGAAGGCCGCTGCGGAAGCATGGCGAGCACAGGGTTTAGGGTTTAGGGTTTAGGGTTTGGGGTTTAGGGTTTAGGGTTTAGGGTGTGTCCAGATCTCCATTGCTTACCTCATCGAAGAACAGCTGGCTCGAATGGGTTCAGAGTTTACGGTGTGGGCATGGCTGCCTAGGAAGCATAATGACTGGGACTCCGAGTAGGCGCTTATTCCTTTTGTTAGGGTTTAGGGTTTGGGGTTTAGGGTTTAGTTAGGGTTTAGGGTTTAGGGTTTCGGTTTAGGGTTTAGGGTTTAGGGTTTAGGGTTTAGGGTTTAGGGTTTAGGGTTTAGGGTTTAGGGTTTAGGGTTTAGGGTTTAGGGTTTAGGGTTTAGGGTTTAGGGTTTAGGGTTTAGGGTTTAGGGTTTAGGGTTTAGGGTTTAGGGTTAGGGTTTAGGGTTTAGGGTTTAGGGTTTAGGGTTTAGGGTTTAGGGTTTAGGGTTTAGGGTTTAGGGTTTAGGGTTTTTAGATTCCCTTCTAACCTCCCCCCTTCCTTGGAAGCATAATTACTAGGACTCAGAGTAGGCCCTGATTCCTTTTTGTTTGGGGTTTAGATTCCCTTCTAACCCCCCCCCCTTTATTAAACCAAAAAAGAGGCACCCGTTTTCTTCCTCCAGCAGGTT